ACCGCATGATGTGCGATGTAGTGTATTGGACCATTGTATTCTCTCAACTCCTCTTCTCCTACTTCTCTTGCCACCTTCCTTTCAATCATATCATCGATCTGCTCATTGTACACTTTGGCTGCTTCCTGGTTTCTACCTAGGCGAGCTTCTAAAGACTTTAACTTCGCAAAAACCACAGCTCGGTTATCTGGAAGCAGCTTCGGGTCTTTGATCCATGGATATTTTGCTACCCATCTACCCTCTTCGTAGGTTAGCCCTTCTTCAATAATGTTCAACTCATGCTCTTCTTTCAAAGTGTATTGTTTCGCACCAAGCGGACACTTACCGCATTTACAACCGCCACACCTTGGATTGCAGTCAATGCCTAAGCTCTCTATGTCAAAAAACTCTCTATGTTTTACTTCGAGCAAACTAATTTCTGTTGCACAATTCTCACCTCTGCAGATTGGATGAGCTCCTCCGATGCACATCCCAAACCTACACTCCAGAAGCAGTAGGTGGCCTTCTTTCTTTACCTCACGTGGATGGAATCCTGCATAGTCGTATCCAACCAAAATGTTGACATCACCCACAGGTCTTCGGACCTTGTCATGGTCGACCTCCAGTATTTTCGCCAGTTTCTTGCTTTCCTGTGGCTTTACCATCGCTGTAATTTTCTCAATGCCATATGCGGCGATCACTACTTCTTCCCCATTCTTATATATGAGTGGCACCTGGTATCGTGTTGTCTCTATTGTGCTTGATTCACCACCCACTTTAGTAATTTTTATGGTCACTGGCTTTCCTCTCGCCTTCATGACACGTGCCGCCTCATGTGTTATAAGTGAGGACATTGCTCCACTGTCAAACATGGCGTTTAGACAGGGTCCTTTTCTGCACTTAATACTCATAACTTGCAATAAGCACCCAACCTCATTGTTGTGCATGTTGTTTTGTATGGTGGCCATTGTTCCTGACTGCTGGCTCTTCTGGTCTCCTACCAAAAAATGTACGGAAGGATGATGCACCCGTGTACAGCCATTCTTTCCACACGGCCTCTTCTTCCAGCATCTTGCAACAATATGTCCTGTCTTTAGGCAGCAGAAACATGCCCTCTTGTCCTTTAGTATGCTTACTCTATACACATCTAGATGTGTATAAGAGAACTCCTCTGTGTTATGTCTGGCACCATCATGTATTAAACAGAGTTGTTGTGGTACTCTTTGAACATCCGCCGCCAGAACCGCAGACGATTTAGGTATTTGTTGACGGCTCGAATGGTTACTTCTCATAGTTTCCATAGTATACTCAACTCTCTTTCTTTCCGTCTTCAAAAACTCAATCAACATCACTATTACATCTTCCTCCTCTGCCTTTTTATCTTCGGTCTTTATTCTATCTCTCACCCATCTCTGGAACACCGTATCAGGTAGCTTTCTCTCGATCTCACCAAGAACCTTCATATTTGACATTTCACTTTCTTGCTTGATTTTCACTAAGGCTCTGTAACTGCTTTCTACTACGTCAATGAACTCTATTAATTTCTTTCCATCACCTTCTCTTACTTCCTTCTTGTTTTCTACCTCATTGATTATTGCTTCTACTAATTTTCTTTCACACCCGTATCTCTCGTCTAGCCTCAACCACATCTTCTCGTATTCGTCCTCAACCGGTCCTATAATTCTCAAGGGGTCCCTACTTAATGCTTGCCTGAGGGCAAATGCTAACTGATCCGGATGTGTGGATGGCTGAACAAACTTGGTAAAATCTTCTTTAAATCTACTGTACTTCTTCACATCTCCGTCAAACACTGGTAACTCCATCCGCTTTAACTTCAACGTCGGTTTCATCTCTGCTACACCACTGCTACTGCTACTAACTGCTTGAGCACTTGTAGTTTGCTTCGACTGATTTTCTTGGTCTGTCATATTAATTTTCATTGCATTCATCTCTGCCATAAACTCTGTTTGGCACCTTTCCATCCATTGTTCTTCCTCTAGGAATTCCTCTTCATCTTCAATCAAGCTGACAAGCTCACCGTGGCTCTCCTCAATTGCTTCAAACAATTTCTCTACTTTTTGAACTCTATGTTTGAAGTCTTGGATAATTAATTATTCCTTTTGCTGGTTTCTCAACACTTTTAGTGCTCTTGTAAGGG